GAGACGACAAGGGTTGGAAGATCGCTTGGTGGCAAGACCCTTTACAACGTGGAGGCATATTGTATCCGCATCGCGTTTGCTGCTTCCACAACCGTTCTTGTAGAGGAAATCCTTGCCTCAAGTTTCTTAGGCTATTGACGTTTTTGTGCAGCCGTTAGTGGTTAGCATTTAAGTTGTTTGCGACGTTTTGCTGATTAGCGTCTTTGTCTTTTCTTTGCAGTTGACTGCGGTGGTTATGTTTGGCTAGATATTTGTCCCAAGTTTCTGGTGCTGAGTTTCTCTGTACACCCGCCATGCTGCGTTTCGTAATGTCATTTATTTTCGAGTTCTGTTTCTAACGAAAGGAACTGACTTACACTTATTGCAAACTCTTATATCTGAAGCCTGTGCAATCAGCTGCCTGTATTTGTTGACGAACTCGTGCCGGGCAACTTCCGGGGGTCCTTCTCCGAGGAACGACCAAGTTGTGGCGCTGACGAGCTTAGCTAATCGATCGTAGCTTGTTATGGTTCGCAAAGTCTCATCGCACTCATTCCGATATTCCGCATAGCAAACGGAGTTGAAACTGATCACTGCGACCCAGTAAGTACTCTAAAACAAACACAACAATAATATGTTCCTCTTTGGTAAACACAAGATCCAGTACAGATGGCCATTACCTGTTCTGGATCGAGTGGGCAAAGTGATGGGATTGTAAAGAGGAACAGTAATTTTGAGCTCCTGTAGATCGGCTGTAAATTGTTCTCCGATCGTGGCAGGAGTTTCTAAACAATGTAACTTGAAATCACCCATGATAAGTATGCGTGGGCACCCGCTGTAAACTGCATCAAGAATGCATAGTGAATGGAGATGATCAAACCACGTTGTTGGATTGCGCCTCGCATCGCTGAGGAATGTATCATTTGTTTATTTATTTGTTTATTTAATACTACGCAGAAGGCCGCCAACAGGGAATTATTTGACTTTTGGTAGGTGGGGTATAAATACATGTCGCAGCCACTGAGACCGCTGCTCGGTGAAACTTCAGGCGCTGCCTGCACACAGGCTGTAGACATAATGCAGATCTGGCAAAAGAACTTCGATTGTTTCTTGCACAACCGTCCAGAGATTGACTGGGATATGTTGCACTGGCTGGGGCAACGCCAGGTGAAGGTGTCTTGAAGACACATCGACACTGGATGAGACGTAGAGAACACTTACACAGCTTTGCCACGGCTAGTGAGCTGGTTCAGAAGCAATACCGCCTGAAGTGTTGATTCATGTCGGATGCGTGTTTATACATACGTTGCGCTACTTGGTGCAACGCGTGTGGTTTGAAGAAAAGGTGCCGGCTGACTTAAACGATGCGCTTGCGCAGCTACTGTACTACGGCAAATGGAGCTGGCCTGTTGCACGAATCACCCTAGTATCACCTTGCTGAGTTGCGCTGGTCAGGTGATTGCACGAATCCTGTTAAATCTCCTCGGCTCCAAGGTTGTTGCATCGAATGCGACGGAAGCGAAGTGTGGATTCCGTTCAGGCCTCAGCAGCTTACATCTAATGATCGCGCCTCATCAACGGCAAAAGAAATGTGGAGAGCGGAACCAACCATAAAACTCGATATTTGTTGATCTCACCAAGGTATTTAACAAGATGCACCGCGAGACACTTTGGCTGTTGAGTGGTAACTTTGGCTGCCCGAATAAGCAAGTAAGTTCAACTGAATTTTTGCACAATGGCTTGCGGGCGAGGGTGCAGCTATGTGGACAAACATCCGATGATAATGCCGTTTTCTCTGGTGTGATGCAAGGCTATATCAAAGCCCCTACCTTTGTAATACCTGCCTAAACGCTATGATGTCTTTTGCTTTTGGTGGTGCTTCTGAATACGGCGTCCGTGCAGAACACCGTATTGATGATGTATTACTAAACAACCCTCCTTTCGGGGCGAGGACCTTAGTGTGTGAGACAACCATTCGTATGTTGCTGTTTGCAGACTAATGCAAGTTGTTTGCACAAAGCGCATATGATTTTCAGCATATAACTACGGCTCTGGCTTTGACAGTGACCAAATTTGGTTTCGCCATTAACATAAGCACGACTGTTTGCCTTTTACAGCTCTCATCAAAAATGGAACCTGCCAACCGTGTTTATGGTTGGCGACAGTCAATTCTGGATTTGTCTGTCATTGCGGCTTTCATGGAGACAGCCACAAGACGCCGGGGCCTACAAAGGTAGCGTAAGTGGGTTGCGCTGCACTATCCACAGCTCCATCCGCACACCCCATATCAAATGTAAACCCGAAATAATAAAACTGGGAGACTTGGGGATGGGAGCCACGTATCATCAACAGAACCGGTCTACACTTCTTCAACACGCGGAGCAGAAATATGCACGCTTAATTTGGAATTCCTGTCTACCAGTTCTATACAATGCGATGGCTGTGCCGTAGTCCTTTCTAGACTGGAATCACCCTTTGAGCCTAGCACGACTACTAGGACCATGCACCTCGCCCTGCAGCAAAGAATAGCATTCTTCTGGAGCTGGTACTCGAGTTGAGCGTAGGCACCTTGAAGGTAGCCATCTTGTCAACATTCACATCAAGCCCTGCCACACCGGGGATAACAAATAAGTAACACCGTGTATGAAAGAAAATAAACACGCGAAGTTGACACGCAATATACAGTGAAATATCAGAACTGAACAAATCAGTAAAATGGAATACGTTTCATGGAGGCAGTGTATTATATTTACGTGTGTAACTTTATATGTATGTATCGTTTTCAGTCTAGTTTGGTAGCAGAACTTCTGTTACTATCGCGTAGATTCACTTGTAAACCTGCGTACTGTTATGTTCGGAAGGAAAACGATTCATTCAGCTATTCGTGCTTCCCAGCTCTCCATCTAACTATCGTTTCGTTCGGCAGTCGTTGTTCCCGTTAAGCACCCTAAGTACAGTTTATCTCAAATCTCTGGAAGCTGGCTATATTCCTTTCAATTGCTCTCGGCTCGTTCGATGCTTCATCATGCCCTCTCTGGGACAGTGAACAGCTTGTATATGTCATTGGCTTCCTGATTTACAGTATGTTTATCCTTGTGTGTCGGCGATTTTTATTAGCTTTACTGATCTTGTGAGTAGCACAAGATCACCTGCAATTTTTCGGGTGCCTTCTTTAAAACTCCGAGTGCAATACGGCATCCTCAAGCGTGAGACACGCATTCGACATCAGTGGAGTACCATGAGTGTTATTACCGTTTATTTAACTTTGTAAACTTTGATGTTTTATGGTAAATCAATCGGCGATTAGAGAAAGCTGTAACAATGTTCCCGTATATGGTCTTCTACAGGTTGCTGACACTTACCGCTGTTCCGCGGTGCACCAGACAGTATCCCTGTTACACCAGACTGATGTGAGCAGAATACATGGGGTCTATCAGCCACAACCGGTGAAGTAGCGGACTGCCAACACTCAACGATCTTGATGATAGTAGAAGACCTACTACCGGACAGTAGTCTTCAATGATACTACTCGGTTACAGAGGCACCGTGTTCTCATCTTGGAACTCACCCACGTTGAATCACATCCTCTAACGTTCCCACTGAAAAGCTACTAAGGAAACTTCAGAGATCAGAAGGTTGGCAAATTTACGCTGGTTTATTTTCTTTTGGACTGCTTACCACTGTGTGGAACACTGTACCAGGTTTACTTAGGTAATGATAAACAGCAAAACTCCACTGTTGCTTAATCAGACATTAGTTTGTTTAATGTTATTCTAGCGTGGAGGTCACCTAAGGACTATTTGAACTGCATCCCTAGTTCTCCAGGATAATCAGGGTGTATTAGTGTTGCTCCCTTTTACTGGTATCCATCGCACAATTCAAGCGTGCTTATTGAGTTTCGTTCCGCCAGTCTATTTTGTGGAGATTCGTCTATTGAATGATCCGGTATGATCATACCAGTGGGCGGAATTAGTCTCCACAAGCTCAGCAATGCTTGACGTTTCACTTGGTGATGTTCGGCTTACCACACATTTCACCACCTCATCTTGCGATGTATTGGCACAATTTCTCATTTGCTCTCCGCTGGCTCATCTTTTTAAAGAAAAACTGAGAATATTCGGTCGGCCTTCCATCCGGGTGTTTAGGTCACCATTAGTAAATATGTCACCAAAATGTAGTGAAGATGCACTTTTGTAAACAAGTTATATCATTACATAATTATGATAATATATGAAACTGACCCTGACTGTTGCCTAGCAATGTTTACCATGAGAATGTATTCCCTTCAGGCATACCCGAATTTCGTTTGTTGTGTAAGCAACCTTCGCCGATTGTCGTTTGCTGCTAATAATTTGACGAGTTTCATATATGTGGAAGATGTGTAGTCTTTTAAGGTTATGGAATTGTTCGAGTGACTAAGCAGCGCTGGTGTAGTCTGGCATGCTGCATTTAAACATTTGATTAGTTTATGGCATGGAAAAAATGTGTGATATAATATGTTGGGTAGCGCCTTGGATTCGGCCGCAGTGACACAGAAAAGATGAGCCAAATACGGGACGATAGAAAAGATAGGAGCGGATGGACACGACTTAAGTTGCACAGACTACAAAGAATGGGAAGCGACTCAGCAAGGACAAGGAACGTGTAGCATGGGAACCATCAGAGCAAAATTAAAGGCGGATTTACAGTTGGTAACGCAAATGCAGTTGAGTAAATTCAATTAAATGTAAAATCCCATGATGCGAACCCCTAAAATGGTATGTTTCCACGCGCACTATAAAGACTAAATGCATAATGTAAGTATTGCTCAGATAATGTTTTTTTCTCTCGACAGTTTCGCTACTACTTCTGGCGTTGGCATCAACTGCTTCAACTTTTACTCGGCCATCTTTCGTTTATGTTAATATTTTAACTTGGTATAACGTCACCGGTTAGCGTGTGGTCTCTGACAAACCTTCCCAATGAAATGTTCGACTAATCTGAGCCGTTCTCACATTTTCTTTCTTCAAATATTTGCACAGCTGCAGTGAGGAAAAAGGGGGATAGCCGGAATGCCTTGTGGAACAAGACGAGATTTGCAGTTCGTCATGTTTATGAGAATTATTTTGAGGAATTCGATTACTATCTGAAAGCTGATGACGACACATTTATCGTAGTGGAGAATTTAAGGAAGCTTCTATCGGAACATAATCCAAATGAGCTTTTTATAATGGGGCGCCGATTTCGGGTATGTAGCAATCCGGTTTCTCATAATCCAATTGCTTTGATTATCCACGTACTGTACTGATACATGTTAGCAGACTGGCTTAGGACACTACTGAATAAAATATATCCAACTGAATTCATTTTTGTACCTGCTTGTGGTCATAACTCCTCACCCCTGCTGTTTTAGCCACATGTGAAACAAGGCTACCTCTCCGGCGGCGGTGGCTACGTCTTTTCCAAGGCTGCACTGGTGAGAATCCATGATGGTGTTTTAAACAGTATACACTGTGCAGGAAGGGATCATGGAGAATCTGAGGATTTACATATGGGTGAGTCCGTGACGAATCTACACAGCAAACATAAAGACTGCTTGGGACTAATTGGGATATCGCTGTTCAGAGCAAGGTTTTGGTAGAGTCAGGAGAACTACAAACTTAAACTTTCATAGTAAGGGTATTATTTGCGATCAGAAGACGTCTGTAGGCCGCACACATGTAGCAGAGAGAGCGCGCATATTAGACGATTTTAGTTCCCTCAGTACAAGGCTAGTAGGTCACCAGTGTGAAGCGACCATCCCGATTGCACAAAATCATCACTAGGGGGGGTTAGATAAGTTTATCAATCCACTCTTGCTTGCATGTGAACAGCATAAATGAGCCAAAATAAGTTAGAATCGTTATTAATCTCCTTATGATTTTCTAAACGCTAAAGGTGATATATTCAGCCATGCATTTGGTTAGTTTCACTGTCGGCACTCATTGTCCTAAACAAGCCAGTTGTTTCTTGGTTTTGGGTGCTAGAAAGTAAACAATAATGTGTCCTAAAACTGGCGGGGTCTTCAATTTCGGCTGTGGCTATTCTCTTTGGAACACTGTTTACACTATCGACTGCGGATTCTATATTTTATTTTTAACTTTGAAGCAATGTGTTTCTTTTTCTGATCAAGTCTCATGGTCAAGGTTGCCCTACTCCGTCAAGCATTTTAAAACGTTACGCGTTACATTGTAACCGGTCCTCGGGTGTCACGGTAACACATTTCCAGGTAAGATCTCGACCGGTTTTTCTTCCTGTTATCCTTACGTTCCTGTACCCCTCCGGCATTGGTCCTTCCATCTTCCGTGCTTCCTTAGCTGCTTCCCCTACATCGGCCTCTTACTAGGCGGTTGAGCATTCAGCCGTCTACGAGGTATTTATTTTGTGTTGCAGCTCTAAGGGTCTATTACGGTCCGCCTTACTATTTGGACACGTAAGAGCCTGGAACGCCAGACCGGATGAATAGTACTCCGCCTTAAATCCGTGGTTCATCGAATACGGTCATAAAATCAAGAATACCTACAAACGAATTAGAATAAATATCTTGGAAAAAAGTGCAAGCATCGTGCTGGCTGGTCATCTGTTCTCATTCGTTGTTCTGTCGACATAGCGCAAATCCCACAGATACATCCTAGTAATGTTCACTCGGTTCTTGGTAAAATAGATAACCTTAGTGCCATTATGCAGCGAACTCAGTATGTTAATGCGGAAACAATTTTTTTACCAGAAACCAGTTACACATTGATGTGTAAAATAAGGTAATTCCACTCGACGATTATTTTCGCATCAGGACTGGCCGCCCCAAAAGGTTCCAGTTTCGTGTTGGAGCCGTTGTAACACGTTAATGGATTTTGATGCAACTCAGCAGTCGTAAGATTCGCATACTCAGCGATCTCTATAAGCTGCCGTTTAGTTGAATGCAAACCGAAGTCCTTAAGTGGCTTTCAATCAGTCATGGCTGGAATGATATTCATTGCTCCTGACACATCTACACTCGAGTTGAAGCTTTTTGAGGACCAAGTCTCTTCAACGCTACTGATTAAATTAGATTGTTCAATTTGTATTTTTGCTGGCGACGTCAATAGAAAAGATACAACATTCTTGAAGATACTTGGCTTTGTGGACCTAGTGACTGTTTTGACTAGACAAGTTGCCCAGTTGGACGCTGTGTTCACAAACAAATGACAGGTGTTTTCCATACAAAACGGGCTCTTTTGAACAGCTCAGACCAGTGTACTTTAAAACTGTGTTCAGTCATATACAGAAGGTCTAAGTTTTGAAAGCTGGCCAGATGTCCTTACAGAATTATCAAATGGCGAAATTGCTTCTTGGAATATATCACGGGGCTCCAAATGATGTTTTCGTTAACTGATTTTTGATCTTTAACGAGGTGGAACTATCGCTCGAATGTGACCATCTTACGAACTACATCGAATATTGTTTTGACAAATGTTGCCCTGGTGAATTGATCTATGTGAGGGCAGATGGGTTTTTATCACCAATACTAAAGCGATTTCGAAGGATAAAAGAATGTGCTTACCAGTGCGAAAATGCTACCCGTGTCAAAAGCCTAACCACAGCAATTACATCCGGGTTAAAAAGGCTAAATCAATTATACGTCGAAGCAGTTCTAGGCAACCACAATTATCGTGATCTATGGAGGCTTCTGAGGTAGCACTGGTAAGAACGTTTGCAGCCAGAGCGGTGACGTGAATGTGGATAAACTATATTCTGGGTTTACTTCCACCTCCTTAAGCTCATCTTCTTTACCCCCCTTCATTAGCTGAAGTCCAGCTGAACCCTTCGAGCAAAGCAACGTTCACAAGGAACGCAAAAGATTAAAGGCAAACAAACTTTGGGGTCCGGATGCCCTGTCATCATTAGCTTTGGTGAAGTGTGCTGCTTCTCCCACACTGCCTTTAACGGATGTGAACTAATGCTTCACTACGGGTGTGATCCCGGACATTTAGAGAACGGCCAGAATAACTCCAGTACCAAAACTGGATCTCAAAAATATCGCACAATTTTATTTACATCTGTGCTTCTAAAAGTTTTTAGAAGACTGTTAATCCAGCGGATTGGTTCAGTTGCTCCCGGGGACAATATCTGCCAGTTTGTGTAAAGACCCCCGCACTCCATACTGGATGTAGTGGCATGTCTTGTTCATTCTGTAGCCTCTGAATTGGTTCAAAAATCTAAATTCGTATGGCTTCTCTTCCCGGATTATTTAAATGACCCTGGAAGCCTGGATAGATTAATGTTACTAAACACGTTATGCGAAAATGGAGTTCACCATGGTGTGTGTAATCTTTTACGTGAATACTTTACGGATCATACTCACTTCACCAAGTTGAACGGTAAGAAATCCTCTGTCCTCCGTGCCGCCTATGGTGTTCTGCAAGGTGCGATCATATCACCTTTTCTATTTTCATTGTATGTTAGACATCTCCCTATACAGCCACGTTTATAGGGTGGAAATATGCTGGTGATGTGCTGGGATGTATGTCCCGCACTAACCAGGATTCCTCATCATTTCAACGTGCGTTGGAGGATCTGTTGGAATAGTCTTCATCCAGAACTCTTACCCTTAATGCTTCTAACTGCAGTGATGTACTGTTGTTTTTCTCCGTCGTGATACGTTGCAGTTCCTCATATATTTCTCTCCTACCCTTACTCTGAATGAAAATCTCATACGCAACTCTTCCACCGTCAAGTACCTCGCTGCCTTTTTGGCCCAGAACGTTCATTGATCCAGGCATGCGTGTAAAACTTTTCGAAAGGTCTGTAAAGTTTCTTTTTATGCTCTCCGGCTCCAAGGAGCTTTTAGTATCTCGTACTCTAATATTCAGGTTTGTGACCTCTTGCATTACCCCCCATTGGGTATATTGCTCTCCTGTCGTTTTCCATAAATTGCTTCATTTAGGTCTAAATCTTATTCGCGCGATCTATAAACACATTTCTAGATGCAGCGGATTGTCTAAAGATTCTCTAGTTGACTTGATCATTTATAGTTATCTTGATGCCTGAAATGATATTTCTTTTAAGGTACTAACTGACTGGTTTCATCCATATCCCAATGATTTTTCCAAAGCGCTGTCTTTCCCTTTCTACTCGTTTGAAATTCCGAATTTTATTCTCTCGCACATCACTGTATCACAATGCTGTTTTGCCTTATCTCTCACGTTTGCTCGTTGACACAGCAAAAGTCAGTAACAGGCTGCTCGAGCGGTTGTTGGTGTAACAGATCTGCTTTTTTCCCACTTTTCTACTCAAGCATGTATATCGAGATTATCATCCATGCTGAAAACGAACTCATTAGGGTTCAGAAAGCTTATCTTGACTTGACTTGTAACGCCGTTTCATACATTTCTGACAGTTAATGGATGTAGTAGCAAAGATATTAGCCGCTATCTTCTAGTATTCCAGTCTGATTTCTCGTTCATTTGCGTGCACTCTACGCGCGAGATGGCAGAGATTTACAAACGTAACCGGGCCTTTAGAGACGCACAAACGGACCTCGTCTGCTAACCCGTTAACGCAGAGGTAGCTTCGTAGGTAAACGAACTTGTCTACCACTTTCAGCGGGTGACCTGAAAGGGTAAGGCTGGCAGCAGCCCCTAGCCAATCCTGTACGAAGACCTTGCAGTTCGACTGAATGAAGGATGTCGGGATCATAAGTTAGCTTCAGTGATACCCCTGTCCATTGGATACGCGATAAAGCAGATGGAGTAATTTATAAAAAGCAGCAGAGCCGCTCTGTTTTAACATTTAAAAAGTAACAAATACAAGCTACTGCTTTAAGCACTTGTGTAGCATGCGGCTTTGGATTGAACCTGTGCAACAGCCATCAGAACTTACATTCGTTAAGTGCGTTGTGAAGGCAACGTGCAACCATGCAAGGTTGTATTCAGGGGGAAATATTTCTTTAGATTTAAGTAAAGAGCTGATAAACGTGTCACCAATTAGTTACTTCCTAAGGGGACCCAGGAAAATCTGGCGCATTGCTGTCAGTAAAGTAGGGGAACTCACAAGTTGGGCGGCTTCAACAAAGGTAAATGACGACTTAATAGAGTCCCCATAGACTTTTTCGCATCTCTAGTAGTTTAGATGGACGCCTTCGCAGCTAAGAAACCATAGCAGCTCGAGCGTGATGTCCATCCACTGTCGCAAGTTTAAGCTTAAAGCAATCACGAGCTATAAAACTATATCCCATATCTCCCCATCTGTCTTCTCCTAGTCTATGTGCTTCTGACTTTACACATGGATAGCTGTGGCTATGTAACTACTGAAAATTCAGACTCCCCAATCGCATAGTCTATCATGACTTAAACAACTAGTACCTAGTATTGGAGGGTTGTTGTGAAGCGCTCGTCTTGAGAATGGATTACGATGCGCCATCCCAATGTGGACAGCGATGCCCACTGATTTAAATCTTGGCCAATTCGATCACTTGGACCGTAACTGATAAAGCAGATAGGCGGCGAGCCAGTCATTCCGTTACTCTAAGGGCCTTCAC